GGTGCCTTAGACCCGCTAAACCCAGTAAAGAAACTCACCTCGAAATCCGAACGATAGCTGAATAGGTCCCGACTCCGAATATCAGCTCTACCCGCCACCTAATAATAAACAGTGACCAATCCTTAGATACACCTCACACTACCTCAAGTACCCCCCTTAGGTCATACTTGGTCAAAGATAAAGGTTAAAAGTCAAGGTCAACAGTCCGTGTTGACCCAACATGTCGTGTTGTCCTTTAACACGTCGTGTTTCTCCATCCTCTACAAGGTCGGGAAAAACCACGCCAACACGTCGTGTTTACCAATAAACACGCCGTGTTCAACTGAAATCTAACAGCTTAATACATTAGGCTGCCTTCATCGAATCTAAGAGATCCAAAGCTCAGATATCGACCAAAATGATATCTATAAGGGTAAAGTTTCCAACTTTGCCCCTAGGGACCACTAAAATGGGTCCAAAACCCAAAACCTAGGCTTAATAGAGTGAGGGCTTAACCATTAAGCACTTAATCTTCAAGACATTGCCCCAAAATGAAGATCTGACACCCGAGAGCTGGAATACCACGTAAAGTTGCCAACTTGACGTTCATGCATGCCAAAGAGAAGCTCTAAAGCTCAATAAGGGCTTAATAAAGGACTTAATGCATGCATGAGACCTAGAATCCTATAAAGCTTGCACCTTTAAGCCAAAGGAAACAATGAGCCAAAAATCATAGCAAAACCCCATAAGAGAAGATCTATTCAACAACAAAGCAAGGTATGAACTTGATACCTGAAGGAGACTGCAACAAGTGGTGAGATTCTAGATCTATGGCCTTCCTTCCAAGCTAGGCACCTTCAAACTCCAAAGCTCCTTCGAATGCACACGAAAATCCACAAGAATACACTCAAAACCTCAAGAACACCATCAAGAAAGCTCAATACTCGTTTTAGGAGACGAAGGAGGCTGGTAAGGAGGCCGATCAAGGGGACATAAGGCCTTTAAATAGGGCGCAACACCCTAAAAATTAGGGTTTCCTTCCCAGCTGCTAACACGTTGTGTTGAGGCAGTTCAACACGCCGTGTTGAAGCACCTCAACACGTCGTGTTGGTTCATTAAACTCTGCGACCAAATACATCTCGACACGCCGTGTTGAGGCTCTAACACGTCGTGTCCCAAAGAGAAAACATAATAACTTGGAACTAAAATCATATCGGGAAATGAAGCGTTACATAGGGTTCTGGGATTAGGGCAAAGCTTAGTCAGAAAAGGGTCCTCCTCATTATTCGACAACATGGGGGTGGTGAGATCATTGCTATGATATTCATCAGAGTCATCATAAAGATCTCCCAAAAATAAACATTATATAATAACAACTTCATTGAGATATATAACGAATAAGAACCTAATCAATCCCACATACAATAATATAATATAAAATCCAAAAAAATATTATATAATTATGGGAAGTATATGGAAATTAACAGAAAAAAATTATTTACCAAAATGACCACAGTGTCGATAAAAATTAATCCTAGATTGAATCAATTTTGTTTCAAATAGTTTTACATCATACAAAATTACATTTACGATAAAAAAAATTACATTTCATATTCAAATTTAGAGACTTTGGATTTCACATTAAATATTGTAGACAAAGTAAAAAAAAAAAACATATTCCGAAATTTCAAGAAAATTGTTTAGTTTCTTCCCGGAATCTAAACAAATTAATGAAATATACCAAAAACAAAGTAGATTACGATATAATGACATAAGAATGTGTCATTTAGGGCGTGTTTGGCACGCATCGTTTGGGAGCTTCTAGCTTCTAGCTTTTAAGAAAACGCTAGCAAAAAAGAAAAATTCTCGTTCGGCGACAACAAAACGCTCTAAAATCAAAAGTTACATGGAATAGCTTTCAACAAAACGCTCCAAAATCAAACGCTACCCGCTACCCGCTACCAGCTAGTTTTTCCAAACACGCCTTTAGTTGGAAATCCAGTGATAGTAAATATTTTGGGTTTAAAGGAGTATAACGTTTTTTTATAAATATTTGATGCAAATAAATAATAATACATATTACTTGAAATCAAAATACCTATTTCATAATTAGTGATAGTTTTGAGAAATAAATAAAAAGAAAAGTTTCTTTTCCATAATCATACGGTAGAAGTTTAAATGAGAGAAAAATACAATGGTAGAAGTTGAAATAAGAACACTCGTTCCTATGAGATATAGTGACGTATTTCTAGCCATACATTCGGGTGATCAATAAATAAAAAGAGTATTTGACATTAGTTTTCGTCATGTTTTACATCCAAAATTTCAAAAAAAAAAAAAGCAAATCATTTTTCTAATTATATTTATAACAAGAATATTATTCACAAAAGTATAATATGTGTAATATATTTATGAGAAATATACTAAAATTTAAAATATTAACAATATTCTTATAAAAAATATTACAAATAACACTCATTATAAATAATACTGAGTTAGATATTCAACTAAAACAATGATATTCTTTAATGTTAAAAATGACAAAAATAAATATCATAATCTTTTTGTCCGTAATCATAAATACATGGTAGAAGTTGAAATGAGAACACTCATTCTAGTGATCAATAAATAAAAAGTAAACAAAATAAAAAAGAGTATTTAAAATTAATTTTCAGTCATGTTTGACATCCAAAATTTCAAAAAAGAAAATAATAATTAAGCAAATCATCGTTCTAATTATATTTCTAACAAGAATATTATTCACAAAAGTAAAATATGTTTAATATTCTCATTCAGAAGTATACTCAAATTTAAAATATTAACAATATTCTTATAAAAAATATTACAAATAACCTTCATTATGAATAATACTGTTAAGCTATTGAAGTAGAACAATGATATTTTTTAGTGTTAAAAATGACAAAAATCAATACCATAATCTTTTTGTCCCGAAATATATTAGCCACAAACATGACTCCTTATCTTAAAGAATTGTCTATCTCATTTAAACCTTTCCCTCTAAAGTTTTGCTATTAAATGACAACCTTTACACCATGTTTTCGAGTTTAAAATGAGAAGAAGAAAGGAAAATGAAAGAAAGGGAAGAAAAGAAACGTAAAAAAATGTAAAAAAAAAAAAGAGAAGAGAACGAAGAGAGAGGGAATCACTTCCAATTAGACTACATTTAGGCGGATAGACCAAATGGCGTTTAGTTTTGTGATATCAGGAATCGACGAATAGGTGTCCCTTAGCCAAATGTTAGGGTTTATGTTTCGTTTCAAACGTAAAATGTAGACTTAAGAATAAAATAAGGGTGTGTGTACCAGTTGTTTTAAAAAACATTTGGACGGATAAGTTCTAAAAGAAAATTGTTTATCCTTTCCTTCCCTTCGATTTCATTTTCTTAATTAAAAAACTCAATAACACACTTTGCTTCCTTTCATTGTCGAAAAATAACTCAAAATCATACATTTCATTCTCTTTCTTTCCTTAAATAAACTCGAGAACAATATATATGAACGTTTTTTAGAGTGTGCAAGGTGGACAATCGTACAAGGTTCAAGTCGTGAAGGGGGTCCAATTTTACATATGATTCAATTTACTGTCCAACAATCAGTAATTTGGTAATCCCAAGAAAAAAGCTCATGTTTTGTTCCAATTCTAAAAGCACAAACTAAATTAAAAATTATAACAACTCATATTTTTAAAACTGGGCTTAAAATTAAAAATTACATTTGGACTAATAATGGGCTGATGTAGATTTACGGCAAACAAGAGCTCACGTTTTGTTCCAATGTCAAAATTCCAAAATTGCGGCAACTAGTTTTATGATTCCATTGGACTTCATCTCTCGTTTTTTATTGCACTATCACTCTTGTTTTGATTGTCGTCTGAAATTAAACAAGTGTTTCATTATTCCTGATTTTTAAATTTGATGTTCTCTCGTTTTATATTATGACTGTTGTCGCCGATTAATGAACGTATCATACTAACACATAAATTATGAATGACCGAATTTCTTACTTCGTATTAGTGCATTATGACATTTGATTTATGTTTGGAGTGCTTTGACTGATTTCTCTAATTGCGAGTTCCCTCTTATTTTTGTAATTTTATTTCTATTTTGTGGCATCTACTTAGTTGATCAAAACAATGTTTATGAGTTTCACATTGGTGTTAATGACTTGATGTTATATCATATATACTCCTAACATCTATCGGGTTGTGAAAAACGTAAAATAAAATTAATAAAAAATTAAGAAAGTCTCAACTCTCAAAGTGGAGCTCTTGATAGGTTTATCTAAAAAACCTCAAGTTTCCTATCGAAATCAAAATATTGTTAGGTATTGAGAACGATATATTGAAGAGTATTGATTATACATAGTTGATGACCAACTTTATTTCCAAAAATGTTAGACTTTTACGCAGGGGCGAACCTAGGGGTGGTCTACGGTGGCACCGACAACCCCTAACTTTTCCGGCCGCAGTGGAAAATTTTTCGAAATTTTTCGAAATTTTTATTTTTTATACTGCCGTGCAACCCCTAACTTTCTCGTGCAACCCCTACTGTAAACTCCTGCGTCCGCCCCTACTTTTACGATTTATGCAACTATGTAATATTATATATTGCATTATCATTTTTTTGTCATGATTATTTTTATAATATTTGTCGACTTGTCGTATTATTAACAAATTTTATTTAGTTTATATAAAAAAATATATTTAGAACATCTTTTAGTTTTGGTACTAGCCCTTAAAATCAACAAAACACCAATATAATACAAATGACATAAAATGAAGTCGGAGGACAGAAAGAATGAAAGAGTATATCCATTGTCACAAATATTATTCTGTTTTTGGGCGGTGAATTAGACACTCACAGGACGGTTGGAGAGCCTAATATACAATATAATCTTTGAAAATTCAAATGTCTTTCTAGAAGTATCTAAAACCAATATGGGTATTTTAGTAATTTCACAATACACTTATGGCTATGCACATCTTCTCGTAAGGCCACACATATTTAAACCCGACCCCCTTCCAAACAACTCACTGCTCCACACAAAAGATTCTGAGAAAATGGAAACCTCTTTTTACGAATCAAGCTCAACATTTTCTAAAACCCCATATCCACAATCCCAATCATCAAACCAATCATTATATCACGAAACCAGATCTGGGTTCTTCAAGAACGAGGACGTATGGCCGAAACCCCAAATCCAGAGAAAGAAGAATCAAGTGTTTCTTGAAGGGTATGTGGATGAAGAAGAGCTGGTTAGGGCTAAGAGTTTAACAGATGAAGATCTCGAAGAACTTAAAGGGTGTTTGGATTTAGGATTTGGTTTCAGTTACGATGAAATTCCGGAGCTCTGCAACACCTTGCCGGCGCTGGAATTGTGCTATTCGATGAGCCAGAAGTTTCTCGACGACCAGCAGAAGTCGCCGGAGTCTACGTCGAAGGTGAATGATTCATCGTCGCCGCCTTCATGTGCTAAAGCTAATTGGAAGATTTCTAGTCCTGGTGAGTATTTTGAAAGGGTACCCAAATTAAAATTAGAATTGATTGAAATTTGCATTAATGTCTATTTCAATCAAATGATTTTATTCACAATTTGTAATTTGATTTGAGTTTGATTCTGGAATCTAATTAAAACGTATGTGCAGGTGATGATCCTGAGGATGTGAAAGCAAGATTGAAATTTTGGGCACAAGCAGTTGCATGTACAGTCAGATTATGCAGCTGAAATGAAGCCATGGAAAATGATAAATATCAACTTACATTTTGGAATAGGGTTTGGGACGATGATTCTGAATGGATTATCGAAATGATTAAGCCTGATCTGAAGGAGGAGTTTTGATGAGTTCGTTTACTTGTAAATTGTTATCTGAACAAAAAGAAAAGTCTAAGGGGTGGATTGGTGTCGTACATAAGTATATCTTGTAAATTTAATGAATAAAACTCGTGGCATAATAATATAAGAAATGTTAATTGTCCGTTTTATTTTGTGGTCTACATTTTTCTGGAAAAAACTAAAAATAGAATGTTGATATTGTTATGAGAAAACATACCCAAAGTTATGATACCATTCCCAATCATGTATGACATCTTATAATATTAAAAAAATATCATCTCAAATATCACTATCACTATCACCTATAGTGTTATAATACTATTAGGCTATCCGGTATTATCATAATATATTTATTAGTGAAATGTATGTGATATCATCAACGTGGCCACTTGACAACATGTTCATTGGCATTGGGGCGGAGAGACACATCTGTAAACATTTGAAACCACCCCTACTCTACAACACAATTAGAATGCTTTGGGGTGGTATTCATTACTCAAAATCCCCTCCACATATGATTTTTACCTGTGAAAATGTTCCCATACCTGGGAAGCCGGAAGGCATTATAAGAAATTGTTACCATGTTATAACATCTGATAATTTTCATGTCATCATTTGTTTTCTATTTTTTTCAAGTTCTTTTACTAAATATAAAAACAAATATATTTTTATAAAACATAATATTATAATATTAAAAGTAAACATAACAATTAAATTTAAAAAAAAACATTACAAGACCAAAAAAATACGATAAGTTAAAACATAAAACTAATTGCCCAAATAAGAGGCTCGAATATTCGTCTTCATCGCTCGTAGCATTTCCGCATCTTCGGACGACAAACACTCTTCGTTAGTCCTAAGAATTGTCAACTGGTTCGTCATTTGTTCTCACATGTGTCGCTCATTCTCCTCCCGTGCTTGCCTACGAAGGAAATCAAAGTGCTCATGTTTCAACACATTTTATTTTTCTTTTTGTAGTAAATTCTGCTCATCGAACTTCGCTTTCATTTCCGTCATATGTTGTGCTTTCATCTCAACGTCATCTGCATGTTTTGCAGTGCGCTTCACTTTGTTGCGTCCTGTTAGGTCATCATGGCGGGGAGATATCTTTGATGTTATCAGGAATCTCATCGGTGTCGACGTTGAGCTCGATATGAGTCAGTGCGTCCGAATATTATTAGATTACTATATATGTTTGTATCATGTAGAAAATAATCTACCCAAAGTAGAGTTTGAAGTGCTTGACGTCTATTATCAATAAAGAAGGGGGAATTGAGGATCTACGGGTAACTGCAAAAATGTAGGATGGTTAGAGTTGAAAGGTGGTCATAAGACTTTTGTGCAAAAACAAGATGTCGTTGAAACTCAACGGAAAAATTTACAGATACAAGTTAGGTCATTTATGTTGTATAGATCAAAATATTGGTTGATTAAGAATGATCAAAAGAGAATGGCAGAAGTTGCAGAAATGAGATCATAAAAGGATGATGGGAGTTGTAGAAATGAAGATGATATAGTGTGTGACACCCGCAATTAGGGCTAGACGCTTAAGATATTATAAGCATTACAATTGACTTTTTGATAGAAGATTATTTAGGATAAATAATCTTAACCAAAGTTATAGTATATGTGACAAGGATTGTAACATTCGAGTTTAGTTGTATGTCCCTTTTTAACCCTTTTTGCGAAATTCTTTCATTTTAGTCCCTAGCCGAGTACGCGGGGTGTACTCTATGAGTACGCTGAGCGTATTGGCTCGAGAGTTAGATCGCGGAAGCAACCACGTACATTGGGCATATGTGGGAGTACGCAGTTCATACGCAATGCAGGAGCAAACCCTAATTTTTAGGTTTTGTGCCCTATTTAAACAACTTATGAAACCCTTGGACCTCCTTATGAGCAGCCTCCATCTCTCTATACCCTAAGATCGAAACCCTAATTTCCATTTGTGAGATTTGAGCTTGGAAGTGAGTTTTGGTGGTGTTTTTGGTGAATTGAGGGAAGAAGAACACTTGGAGGTTGCTTTGGAGTGGCTTGAGCTTGTAGATCCATAATCATCATCTTTGCAAGCTATTTGAGGTATAAAGCTCTCATCTTGGTGGTTCCTTATGCTAGATCCAATTCAGAGTGTTATTTGTGAACTTTTGGGTCCTTTAAGCCATATTTGAGAGTATGGTATACTCCAGAAGCCATACATGTTAGATCTTAGCACCTTTGAGGTCCCTTGTCCATAAAAACGTAATCTTTATGAGTTATATTGGTCCATGCATGTGTTAGGATCCTTCTTATGGATCTCTTTGAGTTTTGGGTATCATTAAGTCAAGCATGGGAGTAAAGTTGCCAACTTTACGTGTTAAGAAAACATTTAAGATCAGATCTGAGAGTTCGGCTTAATGGATTAACCGATTAAGTGCTTAATAGGTTGGGTTGGTCGTATGCGGAGTACGCGGGGCGTACCCAGCTCGTACGATGAGTGTACTAGCCCCGGAGGGAGTACACAGAGCATAAGTCTGAGTACGCCAAGCGTACTCAGAAGTTTGACTTTTGTTGACTTTTGCGTATCGGGCCATATTTTGGCATTTTTGGGCGTGGGCCTCGTTGGGCCAATAATCTTTTGATATTGGGGCATTTTAAGGCTTTGCACCTTCTTTGAATTAGGTCTAATGATGGGTTTTGGGCCCAATTAGGAAGTTGGGCCATATTAGGCTTTTGATACTATTGGACTGGGCCTCGGATATTGGGCCAAGTGAGGAAAGGGTCAAATGGACTTTTACCCGGAGGGTTGGACATTGGACTAGGATTCCATTTTTGGACCAATTATTAATTGGATATTATTTGATGGTGTTAGTGCGGGGATTCTTCCAGATCAGCAGTCCGAGATTTTATTTGAGAGATTCAGCAGCCTCACTGTGTTTGGCGGGTCGAAGGCACCAATGTCAGCCCATAGTTTATTATGATTAGGATGCTAGTTTTCTGTGTGACTCTTGCATGTATGATATCTGATATGTATATCGGGCGGGCCCCGATGTCAGGCGGGGCCTAATGATTATATTGTATTCTTTTTATGTTTGTGATTCTTGCATGTGTTTATGTGTTTGTATGTATACCGGGCGGGGCCTGATGACTGACATATCTATTCCGATCGGGGACCATTAAATGTTTGATATGTATGGTATATGGTGTTTTGGGGAACTCACTAAGCTTCGTGCTTATGGTTTTCAGTTTATGTTTCAGGTACTTCTAGTTCGAACGGGAAGAGCTCGGGATGACTGCATTGCACACACTACATTGTTCTGCATTTTGTACGACTCAGATGTATTTGGATGTTTATTGACATACTCTGATTTTACCATGGTTTTATAAACATGTTCTGTATAATGTTTTTTGTTATTTCAAAGATTGAAATTTTTGGCATTAATTTTTTGGACGTTACAAGGATTCTACACATATGAAGAATGCCTAAATCCGACTTCGTGAGAGGAACTTATGATTTTTCTAATAATTCAACGTAGCTATATACGGCTGTGAAACCGAAATTGGAATCGGTCGATTGTTAGGAAAAACAATCTAAACGAGAGTTGAACATCTCATCAATTCCTATTCGTCGATAAAAATGTTGGATTAGGTGTCTAAGCCCATAACTATTTTTGGTATGTACTTGATTTGATTATGAGCATGGTCCTTTTGGGCTGCCTTCACTCATGCAACTTGATAGGATGACAAGTGGAGAGAGAGAGAGAGAGTAGGATTTATTATGTTAATAATAAATTGGTACTCATAATGATTTTATTAATATATTATATGATTAATATATTATTTGGAACTCATATTATTAATTAGTAATTAATCAGAAATTAATCTAGTATTAATTTTAGGATTAAAGGAACTGATTAATAATGGAGGGATTGATTATGTAAATCAGTAATAATTGTAGTTTGGGCTAATGGACCTTATTGATATGGGGTGGACGAAAATCTATGGAAAGCCCATAGAGTTTTCGTCCAAGGCCCTGTCATATGGGGGTTCATGGATTGCTTAAGGCCTAATCAAGGGAATTAGGGTTTCCAACTGAAAACCCTAATAGCCTCAACTATATAAACCCTCCTAATATAAGGATTTTTGGTCCTCCTATGAGTTTTAGAGAACCCTATGCGATTTTCCTTCCCTCTCCAAGTCATCCTTTGCAAGAGTGTTTGTGACTCCATTAGAGGTGAAACACTTGGGGCACTAAGCTTTCAAAGGTCAAGGAGTTCTTGTTATTGCTACATAACAAGTGAGGTAATGTTCCAAACCCTATTTTACATATGAAGTTTGAATTGTGTATACTAGACTTAGGGTTTATGCTTTGGATGAATATTTGCATGTATAACTCGAGAAAAACCTAGATCCAAAGCATTAGGGTTGCATGTACACCATAGGAATGTTGTAGTACTCAAAACCCATCAGTGGTATCAAAGCCTGGGTCGTTTTTCTGTTATATGTGATGCTAATGTGAATTGTTCAAAGTTGGAAATTTTTCGTTTTTGCTTTCTGCCTGATCACCATGAGGTGGTGTCGGGTCTGATGGATTTTTCGGATTTTTAGCCAAAATTATATTAGGATAATTACCATAAGTTGTTTTAACTGTTAAGATTCGAATTACATGATATGGTAATTGATATCCTCATCTAATTAAAGGATAATTATCAAATTTTAAGATAATTACAAGATTATATGATATATTAGTTATTTGTAAATTTTGATTTGAATTATCCTACCATATAAAATAGATTAGGTCAAAATTTTGATAAAGATAAAATTATATGATTAATTTAATTATTTTAAATTTGATCTAAAAGGTTTTGACAAGTTTCAAAATTTGCCCTCAAGTTTTGGAATTTAATATTTAATTAAAAGTTTTAATTTGGAAATATTTAAATTCTAAACCCTAGTATTTTAATAGTTTAAAATACACCCTCATGGATTGTATTAATAAATTAATTAAGTGTTTTAGTTAAAGGACAATTAATAAGTCCATAGATAGGTTTAAGTTTAATTAAATTAAAAGTCTAATTTATTAAAAGATTAAACCTTAGTATTTTAAATGTATAAAATACACCCTTATACTATATAAAATTAAAAGTCTAAATATATTATATATGTATAAGTAAATAGTCAGTCTTACCGTTAGTAGGCA